ATTGAATTTGCAGTTTACAAGATCTGGACACACTCAACTGCGAGGAAATGCTTTTCTGATCACCAGCACTATTACAGTGGTCCTCTTCAGCACTGTGGTAAATAATTTTTCCAATTGTGTCCACAGAAATGCATACTACAGGTTCTAAAGTCAAAATTTATAATCGTCACATGATAGGTGAAACATTTTATTTACTAAGAACTCTAACAAACTGACCCATCCATATGCTAGTTCATTCTTTTACATAAATACTGCAACTGGAATTATCCGTCGCTTCTTTGAGGAATTTACTTGAATTATGGTACTGATGAAAAATTAGTGATACGAGCATGGATATCTGGATTATCTGATGCTTGCGTTTCCTGAAAGGCTCATATCATTATTTTGATTTTTTACTGTAAAACTTGTAAAGTGTTAAAGATCTGAATTCATCAAATGTTAAACTCTTCTTACGATATCGATATCAACACAAAAGTTAAGATGCTGGCTTAGCTATTTAAATGTTCTTTCTGTGCATAGATCACCTGGCTTAGCCCCTCATTAGTACTTGTTTGTTTCTACATTGAGTTGGTCAAGTTTTCATGTGTATCTTCATTGAGTTTTATTGCCAGTAGCTAGATAAATAATATTATTAGTAGAAAATACAGTTTCCTTTCTTTATTAGTTTAGATATTTCTGATTGTTAATGCTAACTTGTCATGCCTCAGGTTTTTGGGTTGATGACAAAGCCACTTATAAGGTTCTTATTACCTCATAATGCAAAGCATCTCAGCAGCATGTCCTCTGAGCCATCAACCCCCAAATCCCTCTTGTCACCCTTTCTCGAAAATGGACAGGGATCAGAAGTAGAAGTAGGAGGAGAATTCGCAAGTCGACCATCCAGCCTCCGAATGCTCCTTAGCAAACCAACTCATACAGTTCACTACTACTGGCGCAAGTTTGATAATGCATTCATGCGCCCTATGTTTGGTGGGAGAGGTTTCGTTCCATTTTTTCCTGGTTCGCCAACTGAGCAGAGCGCCCACAATTGGCAGTAAGCTAAGAAGGACACGACAACAAGCGAAAACACAGTAAATAGGAGGACGAAGTTAAAGAAAGAAAAAGTTCATGATCTTTTTTGAAATGTAATGTTTTTAGTTGCATTATTATCAAGGCAGCGCCTGATCTTTGTGCTCATCAGGTCTTTCTGTCTGTTTTCATGGCAGCATGGAGTGTTGTGTATCGGTTGTGTGATTCTTCATTTTCTTCTCATCTGTAATTCTTGTTCCATTCCAAGTAGATCCTTTAGGCTACTTTGGTTTGATTCTATCTTTTTGGATTTGCATGGTGTATAAACTTTTTTAACTCCAAGATCAAGGAACTGAGGTTAATCTGTTGTATGTTCAATCTTTTTGTAATTGCCAGTAGAGGTAGACATAAATCATAAGAACGTTTTTCCTTTCACTACTTGTGTTCAAATCTGTCCCAGTTCACTGCAAATTTTTCGAACTTCTTTTTGAAAAACTATAACATGTTATGTTAATCACAAGTGTGTTTTTTTTTAGATGGTCAAGAACACACTGCTAAACTTCAAATGACCACATTTATTATGATTATATTACATTGCTCAATCACAAGTCTATGAGCTTATATTTTGTTCCAATTCTATGATTTCCACAGTCCTTGCTGATAGATTACAATAGAAATAGCCTATATAAAGATATCTAAATCTTGTAAAAGCTCAAAATAAATTGAGTTTATTTTATTGATGCAATTTAACTCAATACAGCAGATTTGGAGGAAGCCTCAGCCCCATCAGTGCCAATCTCCCCCATAACATGGTGCTTACACTGTTCAGATTGTGAGCTCAATAAATCCTGAAAATTGCAATTAATTTCTTAGAAACACAAATCTATATGTATCTAAGAGGATAGATTTTGGTATAGCAGATAGATTGAATCACAAAAATATTTTTAGAAAATAAAAGTATGGTTGACTTTCCTCATATGAGATGGAAGTCTATTCATTCCTTTTATAAAAATATATATGTAAAATAAATTCACAACATTAAGCTTAGAGATAAAAGAAACTTACTACCAATTCTTACGACAACCTTTACCAATTTGCAAAGACTTCTTCTCCAATCTTGGTTATTGTCTCCTCTTTCACCATGTAGGATTAATGAAGCTTTTTGTCTCCTCTCACTGTTATACTAAATGACACCATGAAAGATTCATATCCAAGTGAGAAAGATTACACCCCCATTAGATAGCATGGTATCCATAGACTTGGATTCGAAGATCCACCACAACTAGCATCACATCCACAAAGACCACAAGACCTCAAGCTCTCTTCCTCCCACCCCGAGCACAGTCCACCACCACTCCCACTTCCAAATGTCCCTCCTTTCCACCATCTCCTCCTCCTCCAATTCCCTTCACCTCCTCCACCACCACAATCACCTCTCTTCCCTTGCCAGCTTCCATTCTTCTTCTTCTTCTTCTTCCATTATCCTTTCACCTCTTCACATTCCCAGACATGGCATCAAAGCAACAAAATTCACCATCACTGCTTCCTCTTCTCCTCCTCCTCCTCCTTCCATAAGCAAATCCACAGCTTCTCCTACCCAGTCCTTCAGAAAGAGGTCTCCCAAGGACGTCAACGTCCTCGTGACCGGCTCCACCGGCTACATCGGCAAGTTCGTGGTGCGCGAGCTCTGCCGTCGCGGCTTCAACGTGGTGGCGGTCGCGCGCGAGCGGAGCGGCATCCGCGGCCGCGACGACAAGGCGCGGGCCGCCGGACAGCTGGCCGGCGCCACCGTGTGCTTCGCGGATGTCACTGATCCCGACGCCCTTGGCCGCGCCCTCGATGCCCTTGGCCGCCCCGTCGACGCCGTCGTCTGCTGCCTCGCCAGCCGTGGCGGCGGCATCAGCGACTCGTGGAAGGTCGACTATGGTGCCTCCAGGAACAGCCTCCTTGCGGGGCGCCGCCTCGGCGCCTCCCACTTCGTCCTCCTCTCAGCCATCTGCGTCCAGAAGCCGCTCCTCGAGTTCCAGCGCGCCAAGCTCAAGTTCGAGGCCGAGCTCGTCGAGGAGGCGGCCGCCGACCCCGGCTTCACCTATAGCGTCGTGCGCCCCACCGCGTTCTTCAAGAGCCTGGGCGGGCAGGTGGAGACGGTGAAGGACGGGAAGCCGTACGTGATGTTCGGCGACGGGCGGCTGTGCGCCTGCAAGCCCATCAGCGAGGCAGACCTCGCGGCCTTCATAGCCGATTGTGTCATGGACGAGGACAAGGCCTGCAAAATTCTGCCCATTGGGGGGCCAGGGAAGGCCTTGACGCCATTGGAGCAGGGGCAGCTGCTCTTTAAGTTGCTCGGCCGGGAGCCTAAATTCTTCAAGGTGCCCATAGAAGTGATGGACTTCGTGATCGGAGTGCTTGATTTCCTTGCAAAGCTATTTCCATCATTGGAGGACGCAGCGGAATTTGGCAAGATCGGTCGGTATTATGCAGCAGAGAGCATGCTGGTGTTGGATCCGGAGACAGGGGAATACAGTGCAGAGAAGACACCGAGCTACGGGAAGGATACATTGGAAGAATTCTTTGCAAAGGTGATCAGAGAAGGAATGGCTGGCCAGGAATTGGGGGAACAAACCATCATCTGAGTTCTCAGGCTTTGTGAATTTACTGGTACAAGAAGTGAAGAAGGCCTTCTCACTCTACTGCTAGTTCCACTGGTAAAGGTTTTATGGCACATTCTTCTTGTACTATGTTTGCTTGTAAGACTCTGAAATGCTTCTGAATGCCATAAGATTTTAGCAAATTTTGTTGTATGACATGCATTTGTCAAGCATTAGAAGCTGAACATGATTGTGATTTTCTTTGATTGGTAATGCTATGATATTATAGATGACATCTTTTTCTCTCCTTGTTCTTAAGCCATTCAGGTCTTCTTACAGATATAGGTGCCTTAATTAGCAAACTTACTGTATGCATAATGTTATTAATGTACTGTGTCAAGCCACATTGTCGAAAGGGAATAAGAAATTTGTCATTAATGAAGTTTTTGATTTTATATGAAGCAGATATAGGTATATCTTGTTGATTTTATATAGGTATGTCATTGATGAAGTTTTCTCTGGTTGACTGTTTTGATCAAAGAAAAAAACTACTCCCTTATGAACATACTCTCATGCTCAGCGTTGTCTTGCTTTAAGAAAATGCGCATGAACTAATGAACATTCTCTCATGATGTTCTTTAGTGTTTTCCCTGAATAAAATAAATGTCAGCCACTAATGTTAGTGAAATTAGTCATCTTTCATCAAACTGCCTTCATCAGTTCTCTACATGTGCCTCTTGAATTGGTAGAAAAATTAGCACTTAAGCTTTACTCTCTTTCTCACATTTAACCATCTTAAGTAGGTGAAAGTTCTATGTGGTCTTCCCTTTGTATCTATCTATCTATCTATCTATGTAATCAATTTATGGAAGGAAGTCAGTAAGTCGCTGCTATATCTGATTGTCCAATGTAGACAATATTTATGGAAGGAAATAATGAAATTTTAGTCTATTGCTTGGTTTCATGATTACCAGTCTTGCTTATTCATTGTTTAGCTATAGTATTACTAGGATCAAACATAAGTTGCTCATGCATGTAACTTGGTTTTACTTGTTTAAACCAGCTGTTAGTATGCAGTTAAGCACATCTGCCGATTTCATTTCAGTTTATTGATCCTTCCAACTACCCATACCATCACCACAAACACACAAGTTAATGGTGCATTATGATTATTGAGTATGGTTTTGTAAATATCTCGCGAAGTTGATCACTAATACATTACTTATTGCAGACAGGATTAGGATTCCATGTTCTGCCGCTCACTCTGTTACCAATCTTGGCGTGGTCCATGACCCCATGGAGTGCACCTCTCTTCCATGTCAATGTTTTACTGGGTGATTGAGTTGCCGTGCTCATCTACCGGTTATTAAATGGTACTTATTCATGATCAAGCAGTACAAAGAGTACTTGCTATAAAATATTTTCTATTGGTTTATTAAATGAAATGATTATTAGTCATGTCAATATGGTGACAATAGAGTTTTTTTTGCCTCTACTCAGCAGTGTATTTGGGACAAGAAAGAGTGAGTTTATGTTCACTTTGAATGAGATTCTAAATTGTATTCCTAATGCTTCTTCTCAAGGTTTTTTTGGCTTCACATTCAATATGTCATATTAACAGCTTCTGAGATTCTTTTCAAGTATGCCAAATGTTTGTGAATGAATTCCAATTGCTTAATTTAATGATGAAAATGAAGACAATAAAGAATTGCTAGATGAAAAATGAAGCAGGTCTGCAATTGAAGCCTTTGTGTGTAATGAATCCAATACCTGTAATGATGCATGGTGCACTTTTAGTTGATGGGTAGGAAGTTTACACTGTTTGTAATACATGCAGCAGCACCAGAATCAAACTTCTATACAGGTTTTGGAACATTAGATGAGTTATATCTGAAACGATCATTTTGTTGTAGAAGTTTGTAGAAGTTCCATAAACTGTGTATTCATTAACACATGATTTAGTTGATTTTGCCTAATCCGTGCAGCATCTCGAGTTAGATTTACTTGCAAATCCGTGCAGCATCTCGAGTTAGATTTACTTGCAAAGGGGTCATAGTGTTGGCGCACCTTCAAGAGAAAAGAAATGCGCAAACAAACTATCTTATTTCGCTCTGTCGAAGCACACAAATTTGTGATCACTTTATTATCACAAAGGATATAACACAAGCTTAGAAGCATCCCACAACAAAGGATCTAAGATTAGTCGGCCGCATCCCACAACAAAGGATAAATTGTAGATCTTTTCCTTCAGAAAATCCTGTGTATTCCATAAAACTAAGGGTTAATAAAAAATACTGGAAAAAAGAAAAGATTCAAGTTCCTCTCTTCCACAGTCAACTAGAATTGTCTCATTGTATGCAAACATTGAACAAGAACAATATCCATACTTTTAGCTGAATCATGCATGACAGTGCTCATAGAGATGGTTTCATCATACAGAACTTTGATAAACACACCAAGCACCAGCATTCAATATAACATCAATTCACCATAATATATGATGAAGCCTATGCATTAAGTTATCATACAGGAAGAGCACAACCAAATTCTAGATCGACAAATTCAATTTCTGGAATAAGTTCAGAGACATTGGACAGGTGTCTGGCTAACTCATCAATCCCAAATGGAACCCAATCACTGAGGATCTGTGGGGGGAGATATCATGCGAGTGTTGTAAGATTGGCAGTGACTGCACTTCTGGCCAATGATGTGGTAAAAGACTTCGGTGGTGTCGTTACAGTCGTTGCAGAGGATCCAAACCTGTGAAATCACAGCAAATTAATGCCTCATCTGTAACAAGCACTAGAAGATCAACAACAAAGGAAACTGTTAGATCAAACTCAAACAAAGACTGTTTGCAAGTGCTGGATGGGAACTGTTCTGAGCCACAAAAGAAAACTTATTTGAAGTGTAGATTACAAACCGTCAGAAAAGATCAATAAGTTGGTCATTATCACATAAATTTGCAATAGGCAAAAATCTTACTCTTTTTCAGATTCTCTTACTTAGTATCATGATGCAAACATCACCTTTGTTTATGTTTTATTATTCTGTATACCAGTCTCTTCATAGGCGTAAGTTTCCTTGTTCTTGCTTGTACAGAAACTGTGGTTATTATATTCATTTAACAGTTCAAAGTTGAAGTGGAATTGGATATATGTATCGGCCAGTTGATGCATCATGTATTATCATTACTTCAGTATGGTTCATATATGCAAAGTACCAGCATGGGATAGACTAGCAATAACTGGTTGGAACAATCAGTACATTTTGGTAATTGAATCCTCGGTCCAGAAATTAGTGTGTTCGGATTATTACATAAAAGAAAATCAAGTTACATGATCTGATGGTATTCTGTGCCATATATGCTATAAGCATTGCAGCCATTGAAATTTCAAAATGTCTAAGTCTCACTCCAACAATTTGAAAGGACCACAATAAGAGACAGATAGCACTGACCTTTCTTGTTCTGTAATCCTCTGGCATGGCTGTTTCTTCTATCTGCAAAATAGAAAATTTTAATTTCTTAGGACATCAATTAATCTGAAAGAGAAGACACTATATGAATCTGTATCTATCCGTAAGAGTGAGAAATACTGATTAAAACATAAGTTAATACTTGGGAAACCTTCTTATGACCCTACTTAAATCATAAACCAAAACCTGTACAAGTCAATAGAAGACCATAAAAGTTTTTAACATCAGATCAAGTCATTGTACGGGCCATGGTTATTTGCAAGTCAATTAGATAGACAAGAAGCCGGCATAGACCATACGCTCTAAGAGGAGACATCCAACATTGCGATATCGTCTATCTATGATGCATTTCAAAGGCCATTACACAAATAGTTAAGATATCATGGCTTGTTGCTGTAATTTTCAGTCACATGTCTACCATGAGACTGCAAGCGAGCCGCCTGACACTAACAATTACTTAGATCTTCACGTTTCTGCTACTCGGTGGTTAGATATACCACAGTGTGATAACAGAGTTGTTGAATCCAAAACTAAACAACATTTTATCTTCAAGCTCTAGAAAATGGTGAATTCAAGCGCAGACACCAGACAAGATGTCTAATGCTTTCTCGATGTAATGATAACATCATGGAGGTATCTAGCTAGCCGGATCAAGGCAGCTGCTAGATCCTTCTGCTGAGGAGGTTGCATACCAAGGGACTTCCAACATACAAGGAGTTTGGAACCTCCCTATTCCAATATCTGCAGATCTAATGAATGTTGCACATGGATAAGACATTCATGGCTCTCCTATGGTTTTTTCTGTAGAAACACATTATCAGATCTCTAAATGTAGTGTGATGAATATATTTGTTGTGCTCTCAGATATACCTGGTTAGAGATCTCTGTTCAGAAGCATGAAACATTTTTAACACTTGGTGTCATGCTCTTTTTCAAGACATTCCAACCAAAGAAGAATAGAAATCTAGATTTCTTATTGTTAACTTTAAGATTTGGTTTCTTTGGTATGTTTGGATCATAAGATATGACAACCAGAATATCTGGAGTCCTAGGGCTCATCTCAGTGGAGTTTCCATCCATGATAACATTTCATATATGCTTGGACTTGAGAAATCAATGGATCATGGTTAAGTGGTTCAATCTTCTATGGCTATTTTTGATAACATTTCATGTGAGGGAAGTTTGCTGCTCTCATCATTCAGTAAAAAAAAAGAAATGTTACTCACTATAACCACTTCAGTATGAGTGGAGCTTGAAACTCAAAATATGAAAACGACATCCTTACATAATCATATTATTGGCACAAATTAATTTATAATAACTCAAGCATCGATATTATGTCTTCTGAATTAATTAACAAGGGAAAAAAAATTCAATGCATATATATCCAACAGTTTCGATATAAGAACAGTGAATTATATTTTCTCTTACCTCCTCATCCATCTTCCTCCAGATTTTTGACATGTCAATTACTGACTTGGAGCATATGGGACAACAGTATCTATATCTCATGATAAACAGAAGTAATTAGCTCAAGATACCCAAGTCTAAAAGCAATTCAAAATTCTTAGTTAATTAAATAGCATCGAGAATTACTTGTCATGATTCAACATCTCACTGAGACAATCAGAGTGCATTGTGTGCCCACATTTCAATACAGTTGTTTCTTTCAACGAGTCGAAGAGATACTGCATCAAAGTTTCTAACAGTGAGACATCCTTAAAATTTTAAAACCAAAAGAAACAATGCATCAATATATAAACCTCATAACATATGGAACAATGATGTCTCATTGAGTTTTCAACACATGAATGCTTGTTGAGCAAGCCAAAAGAGTAGCAGGACCCTGTACGCATGTCAAAAAATCAGATCCAATGGATTAACATATCAGTAGAAAAAAGGAGTTGATATATAAAGAGGTGAGTCAAAACTTGGACCAATTCATGTGTACAGACTTTCTTAATGACGATGACTAATGACACAAATGCTAGCTAGTTAACTTCACCCTTTGATGAAGACAAATCCACAAACCTAATAGCGTCACATGAGAAATGAGATAAGCACAAATAAATACAAGTTAAGAGATTTTATAATCATTAGTTGCTCTTGTTTTCCAGAATATATAGTTCTCAGACCCAAATAATGAGCTCTAATAGCTTTTAATCGGGCTTGGATATATAACTAATCTCAAAGAAATGTTTGTTTTTTTTTTTTTGCTACAAATGTCCCAGGATTGATCCAGATTTCATTGATTAATTAAGGCACGCTACAATCCTGCAGGGATTGATCAAGGCACTCGTGAAGTCTGATATATGGAACACTAAAAAACCCTTTAAGTCCTAAGCAACTATCAGATCCCACAAATTTGCACAGTCCAGAACTCCAGATATGGTGAAGAAAATGGTTGATTTTTGACCAAATTACAGTATGAAGTTCACTTCAACTAGAAATCCAGTTCTTAAGATAGTTGTTTCACAAGATCATGCAGACCCATAAACAACTGAGTTCACGAGGCACTCATATTGGAGGCCTCATGGACCAAGAATCAAACACCTCATTAGCAAGAATACAGAAATGAAAAACCAAATCATATAAACTATTTTTCACATTGTATAAGCATGAACGACAAGAAACTAAGATCCATCCCCACTAAAAGGAAACTAATATATCATCTTCAAAAGAAATCTGACTGCTTTCCGTTATGAAGGAAAAAGATATTGAACTGTTTAAATAGAAGAACCAAGCAATGGCTCAGACCAAAACCAAAGAACAACTTCAAAATCTTCCTTTTGTCCCAAGACCACTTAAACATCATGCAGACAATGAAATGCATCATGGCTATTCTCCATCACATTTCTGGGCCTTCAGAGGACTGCATTAAGCTGGGGAAAATTTTCGAGTAAGATGAGATGAACATACCACATTTCTGGCAGTGGAAGAAGTTCTCTCTGCCACCAACTCTGCTCGAGTATGCACAAGCTTCAATCATTCTACCAACTTCTCTATGTGCAGTAACAAGCAAGATCAAAAAACAGATGTAAGGCTAACCTGCAGATACCGCAATCCTCGCAATGGTAATGCCCTTTGTCAACCTGAGAAAACAAAAACAATAGGCATAAGAAAAAGATCAAACCGGAAACAATCAGAAAGCTCATAGATCATCAAGTTTACATCGTCATCGTAAAATCTGCACACTACACAGAAGTACTCCCCCATGTTGACCCCACAATTCGAGCACACTTGTGCAACCTGTAAAAGAACAAGTGCAATCCAAACTCATCTTGTAAACCAAAAAGATAATAACAATAATTAATATAAAAAAAAGAAAGACTAATCAACCCTCACCGGTTGCTCGGCGTCGCAAACCACACAAATTACCTGCAGAATCATATAATAGATATGAACCTAAGCCGCTCAAAACCCTCATGAAGGAAACAGAATAAGCAAGGAATCGGAACTCACCGTTTGAACATCGAAGCGGCAGATTTCATGTCGATCCTTCTGAATCCAGAAAAACAAAATTTCCCCAAAAGAGAGACGACAAATTCTTAAAACTCGTACTAAACAAATACTTAAAACTCGTACTGACAGAGATTCGGGTACCGTAGACTCGTTATGGCAGTGGCGGCAGCAAAAGATCTCATTGCAGCATGGCGCTCGAATCTTGCACCTCCTCTTGTAGTGCTTGCACCTGAGCAACATCCCAAGAACAAACAACTCACGAACTCAAAACAGAAGCTTTAGAACATATCAAACAAGGACAACAATAGATTCAGCAAACAAACCCGTAACCCATCTTCCCGAAGCCCAGTCGAGCATCATCAGCGGAGGCCTCCATTCCCGAGAGAGCTTCTACGCAATCCAGGAGAAGAGGGAATGGTGCAGAATCTCAATCCAAGACTGTTCATATATAGGAACATAAAGGTGAGACCTTTATTGATCATGGATTATAATAATGGTGGAAACAACAAGTTTTTTCCTTTTTTTTTTCTAATAACAAGTTACTTGAATAAAAGATTGGTGGGTGCATCAATTTGCATACAAAAAGTGTGGAGCTAAAGACCATGACAAGAACACCTTGTGGTTTTTATCTTCTAAACAAAGAGGAAATTTTAGTAGGGGGAGTTGAGCTCATGTGGGGGAGTCAAAGGGTCTTTATAGGTGTTTGGTGCAATGTCATACAATTAATTTGGAAATAAATTATACAGATGAATTCAAGAAATTCACAAGAGAATACTATTTCGAGGATTCCACATCTTGACAATCAATTCGAGAAGGATCCATCTTATAATGATGCAAAGATCTAAGGCTAGAAGAAATATTATACAGATATAGAATACAGTGCATTACAAAATTCTTGAAGCTGCCAAAACACTAACTGAGGGCAGTGAATTATGTGAATGCAAGGATGAAATATATCTTTAAATTACAGAGCATTCAGAATGAGAGGATGAAATATATTTTGGTCGATGTGTCTTCATACAAGAATGATGACATGTTTACAAGAACAACTTATTGGCAGGAGTTGAGTGTTCCAGACTGAAATCTTTAAAGGCATTTGTTGGGCTGCTGTTTGAGAAGAGATAGAGAGAGAATTAGGAGTAATTGTTGCCTCTATCTTGGGACCAATCAGGTTATCTTCTTTCTATCTTCTCATCTCCCATTGGTCCTGGGTTTTGTATTGCAGGTGGGGGAATGAACCTTGGGAGTGATGACATGGGATGGCAGACACTGGAAGGCACCCTTGTGATAAGCTTTGGCTGCTTGCTTGATGGGTAGCATGTCATGTGAACTCAACAAGAAGTCTTCTTTCTTCGAGTCGAAAACCCAGGGGACCTCTGTTCTTGATACAGGAACAGAACTGGTGGCGGTAGCATGCAGAAAAGCTAAGATGGACAGTGACATGTACTACTGCTTGCAAGAAAATTCTGTGTAGTGCAGCCCTTCATCATGAAGTTTCCAGTATCAGATGGACACTTGCATCAGATTGAGAGTACAACTTGATGTGAGTCAAGTGGATCATTAGAAGAAGAGGTCCTAAGTGAAACAATTTGTGCTGTATAAAGTGATAGATGAACTTGCTAATGTAATGCCATTAGAGACTCTGGTGGCAATTTTATTTCTGCTGAGTGCAGGCACATGTAGAATGGAGATTATTGGTCTTCTTCTTCTCCAAGAGTTGCCTTGCTTGCCAACTTTATCCCATCCAAAGCAGTCTAGTGCAAGGACAAGAGGTCTTCCCTTGGCCTATTCATCTTTATTGCTCTGCAATTATTCTATCTGCCTCAATTTATTACACTTTGTTGCAGCTCTAATACACAGTGATAGAATTTACAACTATAGTTCTACACCAGTATTGCAACTATTGAAGTCCACTTCCAGCTATTGAAGACATAATACTAGGTTGATGCACATTACTGTCCATGTAATTCTTTCTTTCCATGGAGAATTTTAGGTACTCATCATCATGTATAAATTTTTTCATATAAGAAAATTCTAGTCATATCTCATTTGTAAGCACCTGAGATTTCTTTATATACCATCGTATACCTTAGCCTACAATCATTATTACTTCCTTTGGAAGCTGTAAAAATGAAAATTATCCTATCACAACAAAAGTGTTCCATTACTCTATCCATCTCAATCATTAAGATGCCTATAAAGATAAATTTCACTTTGTAAATATTTTTATTAAGATAAAAAATGCATTGCACCCTATGAGATTTTCCTAACAGATATCCATTTGCTATAGAATATTTGTAATGATGTTTACTGAGGATATTAGCTATTTTAATTGGTCAAGACTTTATCTTCAGCACTTACTATTTATGAATAATATTATTATTATTTGTCATTATTATTATTATTATACACATATTCGAATACCACAAAAAAAATATTTATATCCCATTCAAAGGTAATTTCTTTTTTTTTTAATTATGGCTTTGTTTTAGGGGAAAAAAACACAAAAACAATTTTCTTGCTTCAAGCAAGAAGACATAGAAACCCCAACGTGCGCCCAACATGGCGAAAAATAGACAAGAAAGAAAGATTCTGTAGAAGCAACCTCAGCCAATCCCCTTCCACCATTGGAATCAGTCAGATTCAATCAAAGCTTTCCTGGGCATGACAGCCTTTTTCATCACCAAATCTTGCTGCTCCCTTCCTCTTCCAAGCTGTCAACACGTCTATTATATCACCATGACCTCCTCGCCTTCCGTGCAGTGTTGCACTCCTTCCTTCCTTCCTTCCTTCCACCTTCCCGGCCCCTTTGTCTTCAACCTTATCGCTCTTCTCCACCAATGGGCTGCGGCGGCTCGAAGCAGGACGTGGCCACCGGCAACACGATCACCCGCCGTATCCTCCGCAGGCCATCGAGTGTCTCCAAGAGCAAAGCATCTTCGGCGTTGACGAACGGCGACGCCTCCAAGAAGCAGACGGCCGAGGCAAACGGTGCCGCCGGTGAGGCCAAGCTCGTGTCGAAGGAGTCGTCGGAGGAGTACTTCTCGTCGAGGAGGGAGATAGAGTGCTTGGACGTGGTGACGGGGAGCGAAGGCGCCGAGTACTTCTCCCCCATCGAGGACTCCGACGCCAACGTGAAAACAGCGGAGGGAAGCGGAGAGATCGCCGTCTCCGAGGCGAAGAACGGTGCCGCGTTTGGCCGAAAGGAAGAGAAAGAGCAGATCGGCCGCAAAGAAGATGACGGTATGCATCACATTGTCAAAAGATCTAATTGGATTAACAGAAGAATAGATTCTGATACTCGTCGATTCATCTACTGCTTCAATGTATACTTGTTGTAGTATAACTAGTAAGAATCATTTCTCGTATGTTTCGTTCGATCCTACTACTAACATGTGATATTTGTAGGGGAATCACTTGGAAAGCAATCTGTAGATTTCAAAGAGGCCATTTCCATCGATGAAGCAGAAGCAGAAAAGAAGAGTCCAGGAGAGAAGGAGACTGCAAAGAAGTCATCAGCTCATTGACTGATGGAGAGAGATTAATGCAAACCTGTCATGTTCTTTCCATGTATTACATATGATTAATAATCAAATATTAGATACCATATTTTCCGACGCTTGGCATGTATAGCTCAGTGAGTTGGAGACAGCATGCATGATCATGATTAAATGTAGTAGTAATTGTACATTGAGATTTATTATGTTTGTTTTCTTTTTCACTCTGTTACTTTTTCTTGCTTTAGAGGGAGAAATGCAAAAAGTTACTCAAAATTATATATGAAAATTTAAATACTCTTAATTTAAGTAAAGGTGACCTCATAGGAAACTTAGCACAATTATAAAACATCCTATTGTGTGATTAACCAAAAAATTTATGGAAATGTGATTCATCCTGTTGTGTGATTTATCCAAAGTAAGTGACTTTTTGATAATTAAGCTGAAAGCAAAATAAAAAAAAAAAACTTAAACCTATTCTGTAATCCTAACTATGATCCAAATCCACTTTGCAGTTTCACCACATCCTAATATTGTTTGCATTTCCACTTGTCACCATGAAGTAAAATTCAATGTCAGTAGCCTTTTCCCATCTTTTACATCAAGAAAGTGCTATCAGATTCCCATTGGATCATTCCATCAGTGAACTCGCTGTCAATGCATTAAATATCACATTCCAACCTAATTAGCCACTGTTCAATTTATAAAGAGACCTGCTGGTTACTCACTGTTGTAATCCAAACTGAACCTTAATTGGAGACAAGGTTACTAATAAAATTATCTCATCACCTAAACCTCAACTTGGGAAGTTCAATCAATAATTCTGTATGATATAGGTTTTCTATTTCTCCCTGACAAAACTAAAAGTCTAATACAATTTTTATAAGCAGCAGTAGCAGTGGTCCACTCAATTTATGGCACAGAGCTATATATTCACATAATGCTGTACAAGGACATGCACATAGAAATATGCCTAGTTCACCACCATCATCCGGTTGCATAAACATTTACAATCACTAGAAATATGACTTCAATTGTCGAGGTCAGCTTGTTGCAACCGTGGTGATCTGGACGCGCAATACCTCATGAATTGCACCACGGTTGAGCACACCAAGAACCTCTCCCTCCTTGCCCATCGCAAGCTCAGTCAGAGAAACAATGCGAGAGCGGTGCTCATCAGGCAAGCGGAAGCCGTAGAACCACCTGCCTAGCATAAACCAACTCACACATACTTGCTGCTCTGAAACTTGGCAGCTTTCAAGCACCTCCATCACATCAACAGGCTGCAATGTCAAATTCACAGGGTCTGTAGAGAAGACAATTACTTGGACAATACAATATCTTCATCACAAAAAAAAAAAAAAAGAATTCACACTGTACATAGTTTCATGCATCATTGCCTTGCAAGAAACCCATCTACTTGATACCACACAGCAGAAAATTAGAACCAGAATGGATAAATATTATCAGTTAATGTATAATGTTCACAAAATGCAGAAAAACTACATAACAATATGCCGTTAATATACGAGGAATGATGTAGCTTGTAGCAGAGACAATAGCTGTCTGTTGAAGAACTATTATGCTGTCTATGACTTCTAATGCATTAACCAGTCCTAGACAAACATGCAACTTTGAAGCTAATTGTTGGCTTTGACCTTACATATGGAAACACCAGATTATTATTTTAATCAGAGTATTCTTACTTAGATCTGCCCCAAATTAAACTAATTCACAATACAATTCTTTTACACTTCCATTCAGGATGGTAATTAATAAAGCAACATATGGCCTATGATATCTGCAAATCCTTGGTAAAATGTTAAGAACCAAATGGCACTCAAGACAACTTGCCTTGGATAGTCAGCAATACCTAGAAACTAAGCTTAAGCGGTGGTTATATACAATATTTTACACTTCTATTCAAGATGATATTTGATAAAGCAACATACGGCCTATAGTATCCGCAAAACCCTTGGTGAAGTATCAAGAACCAAATGGCATTCAAGACAATTGCCTGTGATAGTTGCAATTCCTAGAAACCGAGCTTAAGTGGCAGTTAACAACCACTTTGTCGTTAGCTTATTCTGTGTCATTTATGCAAAATAATGTTCTCTGGGAAAACTTCCGTTCTAATGCTTTACCAGGACAAAATAGAAAACTCCTTTTAATGATGTTTCCTTAGGACAAACTTCTTTCCATATTTCTAGGAAAAGTTGCCTTTCTGTTTTCATGATTTTCTCTAGAAAACTACTCCAATTTTTTTTTCCATTATGTTAACTCATCTTCCCAAGAACAAAAGAGACCAAGTTTTACTTTTCTTGCATTCCAAACAGAACAAAAGGAAAATATTTTTTCAACAATCCAAAAATATTTTTAGTTTTCATATAATTAAGATTTCCAACAATAAGTATTTTCCACCTTTTTCTATGCAATTAGACATACCCTTAGCTTCTGCTCAATGCTAAAACCAAGAATCATATACCATAGCAAGTAAAATATAACAAAAATTCAGCTAGCAATTTGTATTCTGAACTCATTATAAGGTTTTGCCTTTCGAACTCCAAACAAATTTTGCTAGCCTTGCAATCTGCATGTCATAAACTTCGATAGGAAGAGTTTTGATACAACACTTGTTTAATAGGTGATATAGGTAATGCATAAAATAAAAATTGCAACTACTGAAGAAAATCTTGCAGGAAACAAAATAACATCATAAGAGTAGCTAAGAGATGTCCCTAGGTTGAATAAACATTGGCTCTAAGAGAACCTTGTAATGGCAAGAAAAATCAAGCAGCACTTTTGAGATAATTTATTAATAGCCTATGTCTACATTCCTTTGTTTTCTAGACCTTTCATTACTAGAAATCTAATTAACATATCATAGAACCAAAATAAGAAGTTCAACTGAGAAATTCCAAAAGAAGTTCTTTAGAGAATCACCAAAATAATAAGCAAGAAAAACCTGTTAACAAGAATCTAACAAATTCCAAAGAACTACAGATCTCCTGAATCCTGTCATCCTGGTTAACAATTATAAACAAAAATATGAACATGAAGGAAATGTTACAAAAGAAATTTATGTAGAGGAACACTAACCGGAATGTCCAGTGAAAATATACAATAATGCAATCCAATCAGATTTAATAGCACATTATGCTCCCTTCTGAACAGGAACAGCTGCACATCTTTAAAACCAAGTTCCATCGAGCCCAGGTCACTAATTGCTTTTAAATAATAACCAACTTCCATTGACCCACTTTTTGACCACTCTAACACAGATTTTATTACATCAGAAACAGCACTGGCCAATTTCTTGTGCTTATTAATGTAAAAAGTTTTACATCCCTACAAAACAAAAGCATGATTAACAAGTATACCTGACACTATTACTTTGTAATATATGTTAAACTAATGCTACATTAAGCAACCTTTCAAAGTTGTTCGTTTTGCAGAGCATGCTTGGCAATCATTTACAGGTAAAAGGTACTTTGCAATAAACAATAAAATCAATTTACATGCACCAAGAAATAGATTCTCTGTAGCTATTTCATGGGAACTAACCAGATATCTCAAGGACAATATAATTTACAGGAATCGGCATTTTCTTCATATTTTGACATTTGAAGCTCATAAATCCTCTACAAATGGCAAGGCCATGTTTTGTCCTTATTTAATTCACAGAACTCAGTTGCTGTACAACAATAACATGTATACCGTCTTCAACTGGTACAGTAAAATCCTAGCAAAAGTATCAAGTATGACTCAGCAAACAAGATCATGGTTAAGGTTTCCCCTTTTTAGCTCTTATTTGTCTTTAAAGCCCAAAATCTTCTAGATATCAGTCCTCGTTATCGTTTGATATCATATGTATGGATGGAAGTTAATATTTTGATGGTATCTATTCCAGGATCTTTATATCATATTAGTGTCAACATATCTCCTAACTTTATATTTAATCTCCTCAAGCCACCAAAGTGCTGTCAACATGCCCTCCAAAGATCAAGGTCTTCTAACAACGAACATACATAAAGAAGATGTACAAGTTATTGCTTACATTTTCAACTTTATTTGCTTGAGTTTTTTTGGAAGTAACAAATACAGACAACTGAAAAAACACACTGGAAATGGAAACCAAAAAGGTAGGTTAGATACCATATTCTAGCCCAGATCCTCCGGATCAATCCATAGTTCCATCTGCCTAAGTTCCTCAATACAAGTAAATGTCATAATTTGTGAAGTTAATGGTTATCATGTCCATCAATATTTTATTCAGTATAATAAGTATGTAGAGTGGAACTAGAGATTATATAACTAAAATAACCTTCGAACCATTTATCTCTATGGTACCTATGTAATGCTTGGACTATTAGGCTATTGCTTTCATGATGTAGAACCAGCACAATCAGCATAATGTGCACAATAACCAAAGATGTCATTAAAATTTACCAATTATATGCTCATACTTTCCAACTATGCGTTTTAACTGTCTGAAAAAAGATTCACTCAAGACCATGCATATGCAGATTTTCAACAAGGATATAAAATATAGAATTTAGCACCACCTTTGTAGATAAATACAAACACATAAATATTAATGTGCATATATCACAAGTATATGGCGCCCTATATGTTTTTTGACGAAGAAATTGACAAAAAGTACCACAGGCTAGAAGAATAATTCCAAACATTTCGAGAATAGATATCAACCAACATATGGATACAAAAAATGGCCCAAGACACCACTTAGTTAAAGATAATTAGTATATTTTAGCAGACCTCAATTGTGAATGTTTTGATGGACTAGCAGATATCTTCCTATGCATTATTATGTGTGCACAAAACAGTAGCAGCGCGTGAATTACCCATCAAAAAATTTAATTGTAAACCCGCAAATTTTCCAATACCAAACAGCGATGAGAATAAAATCAATTTAACAAAAATCATATCTTTCTGACCTGCGAGGGCAACGCACCGAGGTCGCTAACCGCGGAGGGCCATCGCCGCTTGTAGAGCGCGATCCAGACGGAATCGGAGGCGCAAAGGCCTTGCCAGAAGCGGGAACAACTCCCCAACGAGCAAACATCGGAAGCCTATTGCACCGAGTCAAAGATTGAGAGAAGAGGAAGAGGGAGAGAAGGAAGATGGACCGGAAGGCACCTCGAGCAAGGAGACGATGTCGAGCGAGAGATCGCATGGGAGCGAGCTTGAGCCGAGGTCGAACCGCGAGCTCCCGCCGCCCTTCTCCATTTCCAACCCAAAAGGGGAGGTTTCGGTCCGGTAAGCCGGAGAACCAAAGAGGGACGGCGAAAGCTTCATCGCGCAGAATATGCATAACAATGCTCCGTCTTGCTACGACTTTGGTCACGAACAGATGGTGTGTTGGCGCACATCAAGAAGAGCACAGCCCCGACCCCACCACCGCTTATCCCGCTGGATGTACGCCACGTAACACGTCCTTAAAATCGAAACTCCTGAAGCATTCAACGTGAGCCTGTTGGTATGACTCGCGCTCTCGTCGAAGGCACCGTACAGCTAAATGACGCCTCACGATTGGCTGGATGGTGGACTCCCAGCGAAGAAGTTCCAGCTGTGACAAGTGACAAGCGCCGGTTCCGTGTATGGCGCCTTACTTTTGACAGGAGAACCAAAAGGAGTATTAACTGCATAAACAGTTAATAATCCTTATTATGAACCGTATAAACAGTTCCCAAAAAATCCAAGTTCTCAATATGAACTGTATAAACAAAAGGATTATTAAGGTATGATGATATTTATATAATGATAAATTTGATATGAAAATAAATTCAATAAGGTTTACCACCCAAAGTAGCATTTGAAAGTGTCAATTAAAGATTGATGTTATGAATGCAATACTGCTTAGTAGATAAGAGCAGTCGAATAAAAGTTCAAGTCAAATATATAAACATAAGTCTGGAGGAAAAATCTTATGTTTATCTTCAAAAAGAAATTATCATGCCAATATGGGATGTTTACAAGGACACTCAAAATATAATCCAAAGAAATAGACATGAATAGAAAGGTGGAGAGATCAGGGCAAGGCAATGCTTTCACATCATGAGCCAAGAACTAGAATCATGAATTTGGGACACCTGCCAATACTAATCCAATAAAGACCCTTTTTTTTTCAGGTGAAGATAACCTGTTTTTCTCCATTAAATACTTGCTTCTCACTTTTGATGGGCTGAGGTAGACAGTCAAATAAAATACTGCAAAAGATTGGAATTCCTACAATCACAAGCTTATACTTATGACCAAGTTGTCATATGCTGGCCTAGAGATGGTGAGAAAAGATTGAATACTAAATGAAAAAACAAAAAGGTTGGATACAGAAAGCAGAAAAGCCTGATGATTCCCTAATTAAATAATCTTTTCAGTGCATGTAACAACAATACCAGATTCTGAGAAATAAATAACTACCATTATAGTGAACAAAAGAAACCAACAATGACATCAACAACATCAGCTACGCATAGTCCCATGAGACATATAGATACATAAATGAGATGTCTTATGCAAACTGCTCTGCAGATTTAATGGACAAAAATCTGATGACATTTACTTGTAATCTAGGCTACAAAAAACCCTACACAGAAATGTGCACCAACTTGCATGTAGGAATTGCCAGTATACATTCTAAAAGAAAAATAAATCCGAAAATTTTCTTTAATTTTTTACACGCCTTCTTGTATGTTAAAGGACAAGGCTTGGTCGAGGCACGACACACATTTCAGGAAAATGGTATCAGAAGATGTAGCGGATTTGCGGAAAAAAAATAGAGATTCCACAGAGCATCAGCTTTTTCACAGTGAATTTGGTATCATAATGAAACCTGTGATGTCTTGTGTGTCCTGACCAGCTGAACCCTGAACTATATCTTTCCATGAAAATAAGGCATGCAAAGCAGTATCCAAATTAATGGATCTGAAAGGACATATAGTCATGTTGTACTGTGGAAGCTGCCTGGTGTATTTTTCCGTTGTCTCTCCCGCCAAGTTTCACCCCATTCTTTGGCCTCTGCAACAGCACGCTCTCGGTCAAGATTGTGGCAAATATCTTTTGGGGAGTCTCTCACACTCCCTACTTGTACTGGGCTATCCATCTGAGACTCACGAGTTTCCAACTCTTCCAAGACCCACGTGTGCCCAGAACACCCACCTGAACTCCCTATGCCAATTTTTGCATCCTCACATGCAATCATTATTGGATCCCTTTGCCTAGAGTCCGGAGAATTTTGATGTGGTGAATGGACAGCATGTTGATTGTCAATCCTGCTTGTGGACCTTGGGGTGGATGGACCATTCCTAGTACTCCGAGTAGAAGCTGCAATTGGATCATAATTTTGTGAAGCTAAATATGAAACTGCTGTCACAACATCCCCTATGAGAGGTCGAGTAGCTGCTTGCTCCTGCAAACACATTGCTGCGACAGCCAGTGCCTGATATATGCCTCTCGTCGGATAATGACCTTGTAGCAATGGGTCAGCCATTTTGGCAAACTTTCGACGGTCTTTAAATAATGGACGAGCCTGTGCATGAGATCAACAAGCAGTGATAGTTTTCGTCAAAAACAGAGACTGAAATTTGCAAGGTCAGCCTAGAACTAATTTTTCAATGTTTACGTTCTGAAATTCTAATATCTAGTATTAGGAGCTAAGGTCGATAATTAGAATATGAAGCATCATAAAAAGTAGCATGTCCTCAAATAAAACCTATTATAAAGCCAACAGGGACTGGATGTAGTACAAAAATGTGAAAGAGCAACGTACCCATGCAACTAGATATTGTTCTCCAACAGGCCTGCTGTTGTCGATGGCTTTACGGCCGGTGATCAGTTCAAGTAACACAACACCAAAACTATATACATCAGATTTCACAGTTAACTGCCCTGTCATAGCATACTCAGGAGCACAGTAACCATATGTTCCCATCACTCTGGTTGAGACATGAGTCTTGTCACCGACAGGACCAAGTTTCGCAAGCCCAAAGTCTGACAACTTTGGATGATATCCTTTGCCAAGAAGTATGTTTGATGATTTGAAGTCACGATAAATAACTGGAGGGTTTGCCGTATCATGCAGGTATTCTAAGCCTTTAGCTGCACCAGCTGCTATCTTCATCCGGGTATTCCAGTCAAGTGGTTCCACATCAGCTGGAATATCTATTAAACCAAAAGGGCAGAAACAATCAAGTCTCTAATTTTTCAGGGATTCTGAATCATTTGTCATGGAAAGATCATACCACAAAGATCTTACTATAGTATGCTTTTCACTGTGTTGCGGGAAAAGATAAAAAGGGAAAAAGATGGAGTGATGAAATAAAAATCAGTAATTCCATGCATACCCAACAAAACCAATCAATCAGAACTAAGAGCAGTTGACACCTATCCTTGTCCATAATGAAGTTCTTTAACAGTTCATATATGTAATATCAATTCTCAATACAAAAAAAGAAATAACCAAATGTTTTTAATCTTCGGATTGATTTCCATTAATGTGAAAGCACTACAGAATAGCAATCGGTAACAGTATCTATTGAAATTCAGGTTATTTGAATCATAAATCTGACTTTTTTTTCAGCAAATGGCATTTATCTTAATGAATTGTCTACCAGGAAGATTGCCAAAGTTATTTAAGTATGATCTAACTGCCAAAGTTATTTTTAGTCATTACTATAATCCAAATGAATCATCAGTGAACCATTACTTTACCACTTGCACACCTCCGGTGATAGTATTTTTACATGGCAAACAAAAGTAATCCAAGGATTCACAGAATGAGGTTCTAAGACATTTGCAAAACTGACCTGATGAAGAGTAGCATTAACATATGATGCACATGAACAAGTTTAAAGGAGAAACTTTGATACTTTGAGGAGACAGTCCTCCAATTGGCAAAGGCCAGTTGCAATATGACTTGCTGGCGTATACAGCTTGCATTTCCAGCATAGTAATACACAGATTGCCTTTCCAGCATTAATTTCAAGATCTCAGTTCCTAATAGATCATTCAATATGATGACATAATAACTACTTTATGAATCATTCTTATCATTTATATTTATTTAACAGTTTCTACATATAATTCTAGATCTGCAAGTATAGCAATTAAGGAAAATCAAGAAGAGAAACAGCTAAGGAAAATCTAACCATGCAAATGATCTTCCAATGAACCCAATGGCATAAACTCATAAACGAGCAGTCGTTGATCACCATCAGCACAATAACCAATCAGATTGACAAGATTCGGGTGATGTAATAGGCTAAGCATGAGGACTTCAACCAGAAACTCCCTGTTCCCCTGAAGACCGTTTCTGTCAAGTTGTTTAACGGCAACAACCTGCAAAGTTCTATATCAGCTGTATGCTCATGGATGCTCTTTAGACAAAAACAATTTTCATATCACCACTAAAAATACAGATGGTTCTTATTTAGCAACTGTAGAAGCATAAAACAACTTTTGCTAATAACACAAGGATTTTTTTACCGTATTTAAGATAAGTTTCATTAAAGGGATCAAGATACTTGTTGATAGATAAAACAGGCACATGAATGTACATAAAATCAGGCACTATAAAACAAAAAGAAACCAACCTGCCCAGTCTCTAACCTTCCTTTATAAACGCGACCAAAGCCACCTTCACCCAAAAGGCAATCTCGTCTAAAGTTCTTAGTGGCTGTAGCAAGCTCACGGAAAGTGAATGTCTGTGCCGCAATATTGCCAGCATTGCCTTCTTTCGGAGTTGATGCCCCCGTTTTGGAGACTGAATCGGTCCTCAACTTCGATTTGTCTAGGACCACAAGCAATCCACAATAGTAAACCAGAAAGTTAGACACTCAGCGCTCAAGCAATGACCAGCATGTCATTGAACTTTAAAAGCATAAGCTACAAAAGTGGATAAGATTCTCGAATGCTACACTCTGAGTGAAGTTTAACTAAGACCAACAATGTGCATTACATCGGACAAACTCTTCTAGCAAGAAGGCATGATAATTTCATGCGTGACCTTTTAATTTGTCTATCTGAATTCTGATCATTTAACGGCGCAGTAATCACCCTAGTGTCTTTGACCAAACAAGATATCCTTCTTAGGAATGAGCAATCTAGGCGTATGACGATAACGATGACGACCTAGCGACAGCGGACTGACCTCCAAATTCTGAAAGAATATCCGACGAGAGAGTTCGCAAATAGCTTGATAATTTTTTGCTTATTTCCTTTTTTAATTCATATGTATTCTCATGATACCGTTCGACATTTATCCAAAAGAGACGTTCGAATGTCCTAAATTCAAGACATCCACAGATCCGGCAAGAAATGTGAAGAAACAGAACGATCAACACAAAATAAACAAGCACTCCCAAAAGCAGCAGATAGAGTCCATTAGATCCACGAAATTCTCATAAACGAACAATCTATACCATCAAAAAATCCCAACTTTCTTACCAGAACTGCCATGGTGAGATGACGGAGCGGCGGAAAACTCCTGCTTGCAATCCGCACCACCTATCCCTTCGATCTTCTTCTTCACCTCCTTCTCCTTTCCCTGACCGGGCGATCGAAAACACGGAAAGCAAACCATTATCAATCAGAATAACTAAGATAAATTCCCGAATAAAGACAGAACTCCGCCAACAGCTCCCCCTCGATTCTCCGATCTATCGCGAGGGAGCGGCTCGGAATCCCGTCGGCGGGGGGGGGGGGTGTGTGGGTGTCCGGAGCCAAGTAAGAAATTGAATTGAATTGGAGAGACAGGGAGTCGTCAGCGAGCGCGTGCGAGGTAAGAAATTGGACGACGGCGAAACGCACGGGGAAGAGATCGTTGGGTAATGTTCTCATCGATAAAATACTCTGTACCTTCAGTTCCTCACCCCTCTCACCTACCATAAATATGGGTCCCACAGGGTCCCACTGTTTGCCGAACGAAATGACAGGTGAAGAGAACGGGGAAGTTATAGAAAAGATCTTTTTGATATATAAAACTATTCCCAGTATTAATTGGTCATTAAATATTTGTTTTTTATTTGTAGAAAGGTTGTCTTATTGGAGTTGAATATTTTGGAAGGTCGATTTGCTTCCATTTCGGATTTTTATTTCTAAAAATAATTTTAAAATATTTTTTTTCAAAAATTTGACTTAGAAAGCATGTGTGCTAGTTTTCATATTTTCAAAATTTTGACATAGGAGGCATTTCTAGAACACAATATTTTGGAAGGCCCTCATGTCATTATTTGAATTCCTGTATTGTATTTTTAAAAATGAATATTTTAAATTAAATTAAAAATTATATGTTTTTGTCTCTATCTTTTATTCTTTATTGAATTAATTTCATTCGGTTCTTTAAATTCTTGAAATTAAATGAATTTATGCATTTACCTAGAAAAGTTCTTGTGTTTTATCTTCTATCTGAAGCATTCATTGTTTTTCCAAAATTTATATTGAAACATTCTATTTTTTTAATATAGATATTACGATCGCCCCTCAATGAACCCATGTCTTTAAAATTTAGATTAAAAAATAAATAATCATGTATAATCTAATTCAATTAAGTAAATAAATATAAATAAGAAAGATGAATCGATTTATAATGACCCGATTATCTGAACCTACATCGACTTATGATTCATTTAATTTTATTGATTTTTTTCAATGTTATTGATTTTTTTTTCAATAAATGAGCGTCAACAACTCTTTAAAAATTTTAGATTTAACTTAAATCTTACATTTAATCACTAAAACTTTTACAAATTACTTCATACTTACAAATACTTATGAAGCATAATAATAGATGTTCCCAAAAAGGTATTTATAGCACAAAAGTCCAAAACAAAATGGAGCAAATAAGAAAAAAAAATTAAAAGAAAGGTTTGGTACGTTACTGTCATCGATAACTTTGAAATAGCATTGTCAATGATATTCACCCGCTCAAATGAGATAATTAATTTATTAAGCTCAGATGTTGAAGTAAATTAATAGTAATAGACTTATCATACTTGTATAAGTTTAGTTTTTGTTCATAGGAGACTAAATCAGTGTTACAATATCTTCACTTATAAGCTTAATATTTTTTTGATAATTCAAATTCTAACAAAGTACATACGACACATAGTCCAACAATGGCTCTATGCTAAGGTGTACCTATTTACCCAATCAATGAATAATTCTTCTCTACTTAGCCTCTCACAATGCACCTATTTGGGGGCTTTGATATCAATTATTATGATTCAACCTAATGAGATAGTTAATCTATAAACTTCATTGAGCCTAAATCATTGGCTCAAAATGCTTGAAGTAAAATTAATATGAAACCTATGATACGACCCCTAGGATTTTATCATAGAAGAAGAGGAAAGAAATGAGATGATCACATCGAGGAGATCGACCTCCTAGGGTTTACCAAAGGCTGGAATAATATTTCATAAATGATGAAAAGAAGAAAATACATCCATATTTATAGAGTTCCACCCTTGAGTCTATTAGGGCTTAGACTTCTTATAAAATTAATAAATCTCAAATAAGCTCCTATCCGACTCCTAAATTAGGAAAACTTAATAGAACATGATTCAAAGCTTGAAAAATAAAAGGGATTATAACAGTTCCTCCCCCTTCAAATTAACCTTATCCTCAAGGCTAAGGAGCATTAAACTCTGGGATCTTTTCTTTTAGCACATTAGTCACACATGATATCTACGACATATCACAAATCATTGATCAAGTAAGTAGGGTCTCTACTTCATGATAGTGTAAACAATGTGTCGTCCTTTCAGTATAGTAGTCATTGTAGTCTTCTAAAGAACCCTCTGCATCCGATGGCCAGTGGCAGTTATGACCTTACTTCCATCTCTTCCCTTTAAGATAATCTACTTTTAATTAATAAAAAACTTCATGATTAATTTAGAAAAATTTCAATAAATATCACCTAGGATTGATAGTCATTCAATTCCAAGCACCATTTCGAAGTCTTCCAAGGGTAGTAAAAAAAAATCCATAAGCAATTCTTAGTCTTGTATAATCAATTTTATCTTCGAACATTTACTATCACAAGTTAAAATATGTTCATCGATGACCTTTACTTCGAATTTATCACAAGCTTTAATATTGTAGGCCAATCGATTAACAATCTTACTATCTATAAAATTATCAGTGCTATCAGTATCAATCAAAACCATAATAGACTGATGTTTCAAAGTTCCTCTAGCTTTCATAGTTTGTAGGTTAGAATAATTGGTTAATGCATACATTATATGTATGATAGGTCCAACATCTTCATCATAATTTATACCTTCATAATCGGAGTCCATATTGTCAACTTTTGGTTCCTCCCTAATTAGTTCAATCATCAAAAGTTTCTCTTATTTGTATCAATGTTTATTACTCCACTTTTCATCATAGTGCCAGCACAAACCTTTTGTTGATATTTTTTTTGCATTCTTCTTGAGTTAGTCTTTTAAGTGTTAGGGTTTCAATTGGGAATAGATAGAGTGAGTGACTTGCTGATCATATGTTTGTTATCACTTCTGTTTCAATGATTCTCCCTACTTATTTTTTCCTCATGCAAATATATAAATAAGATTGCAACTATCATAGTACGAGGTTGGCAAGCTTTGACTTCACACCAAATATCTGGATTAAGTCCTTCGATAAATGTTCCCACCAATTATTTTTTGAACCAATCTTTGACTTGATTTAGCAGTCATTCAAATATGCTATAAAATTCTTGCATTATAGAAGTCTAACGAATTTTGGTGAGTTGCTCATTAATATTCTCGTATTCATATGGTCCAAAGCGAACAAGAATTCCTCTTTTGATTACTCTCACGAGGGGATAGGTTTCGTATCAATCATATCATTGGATTACATCTCCATCTAGTTGAATTGAAGTTATTTCCACCTTGGATTCTTTTAGAGTTTTGTGAAAACAAAAAATTTTTTTTGCCCTAGAGATCTAACTGGTTAGATCTCCATCTTCCCATCTTGGGAATTCCACCTTCATGCATGGTAGCTTATGAGTTGTTCCTGGTTCCTTTTTATTATGTCTCCAGATCGGTTCAATGTAAGACTTGAACTTTCATCTAGTTGAAACTTGTTAAAGCTCTTCAATATACTCCTTTTGAAATATTAAGGGTTTCTTGTAGTTGGTTCTCAATTCTAGTTTCCAAGATTTTTAGTTGGGCTTTTATTGAGTTATCAGTAGTCATTGCGTAGGACTCCATATCTGTAATCTTTAATTCTTATTTTTGTGGTATAGTCAAGGGCATTGATACTGCCTTATTCGGTGTGACATCAACATTGCACTATTCGCTAGGGCATCAACACTGTCCTATTTGGTGTATGGTCAAGGGCATCAACACTGCCCTAAGCGGATTTCGAAAAGACACTTGGTCAGATTGAGGTACAAGTTGAACTTCATTATAATTGAAATGTCTTGGCTAAATCTGTTAAATATGAGACAGTTGTTTTGCTTTTGACTATCAGGTCATTTATATATATTTTAATATTCCTCCTAATTTGGTACTTGAACATCTTGTTCACCATCCTTTGGTATGTTACCCTTGTATTTTTTAACCCGAATAGTAATATATACCTCGATCGATAATAAAGGAAGTATGTTCCCGATCCTTTAGTGTATTATATCTCAATAAAAGTGAGAAGCTCATGACCAAAGGTAACGTCGACCAATTGATGAATACGAGGAAGAGGATAACCATCTTTCGGGAATGTTTTATTGATGTTGATATAATCAACACACATCATCTAGCTTTCATTATACTTTTTAACTAATACAACATTACCTAGCTATTGGGGGCATCGTACCTTGGTGATAAACCTTACTCGTAGTAGTTTGTCTATCTCATTGTCAATTGTCCGTTGGTGGTCAGGAGCAAACTTACAAGGCTTTTGTTTTATTAAAGTGTCTTAGGAGAAATAGTTAGGTGATGTTGGGCTATGTATAAATTAATTCCCGACATATCTTTTGATGACCATATAAACACATCAGCATTCTCTTTAAGAAAATTGAGAAATTACACTAGTTCCTCCTTAAGAAGTGTCTTCTCGACCTTGACAATTTGTTGGGGCAGGTTTTATCTAGGAGTGTCTCAAATAATGATTCCACCAGCTTCGAGTGTGGGAAGGATTTGGTGAAACTTTGAGGATCTATAGATGGTACCTCGGATCATTCCTTCTTTGGTAGGAAGACCATCGTAAGGTAATATTGGCATGACTCCATCGAGTTGCTTCTCAGCTCTCCAATGCCAACCCTCATCAAAAACTTCATCACCATGTGGAAGGTTGACACCACCGCCCTTAGCATATTTCAGCATGGGGCATCCTATGATTACATTGCATGCCAAAAAGATATTAACCACCATGAATCTAGTCATCACTATTTTAGAATATGACTCATCTCCAAATATGACGTATAGATTCACAGTCCTGAGAGGGGAGATCGAGTCACCAATGAACCCCGTCAACGAAGAGTTCAAAGGGTGAGGCCGTTAGTCAAGATTTTGAGCTTTATCAATTATGACCCTCTTCACTCGAGCCTCACAGAGATGACCAAGGCATCGTCATGGTTCGGATTGAGGTATTTCGTCTTTTCCTCTTTTAAGATTATTTTAGGGTCATCCCTTGTTTGTGGGTGCTTTTCAATTGTAACTTAGGTGTAAACTTTATGACCCAAAGAGCTATCATTTTATGAGGTTAGTCCACTAATGATAACATCAATATATCTTTCTACCAACCCCTTAAGATTAGGGTGAAAGTTTCCAATGCTTTCGGACGAATCGCCTGAGGTGTC